GAAGAAGAAGAAGAAGAAGAAGAAGAAGAAGAAGAAGAAGAAGAAGAAGAAGAGCAGCAGCATATAATCTTACTAGAAATACATGTCACAATAAAACAACAACAAGACCACGCACTTAGACTATTGCTATTAGATGCGCCATCAGTCATTATGATGACTATCTTCTGAGCTTTGTCCCTTCCTCCGTTGACAGTGTCAAACATCCCTTTGCCAACCAAATCCAGAGCCTTGTCAGTATTTGTGGTTGTTCCAATAAACCGTGCTGATTTTATGGCCTGAAATGATGGGGACGATTTACAAGGGGTCAGTACATTACATTATGTTAATAACGGTCTGTTGGGGAAAGAAATAACATGAACTGACTCAGAATCACAGAATGAATTACATTCTAATGTAATTCCATTTCAACCATTGTGTTTAAAAAGATTTTTTTTTAAAACAATTGGTTATAACCCAATACCGTTCGGGCTTTGATTAGACTTTGCAAAACTGAATGATATGCAAAAATGACACTTTCAACTATTATGTTAATATACACATTCATGTAATGTAACAATGCGGAATTCTGTGGCGAGTCTATAAAAATGATTAGTTCCAAAACAAATTCCAAGGTTACATCAAGAGTGAGGTTCTTGGTGCCACGATACCAAAGTCAAGGACTTATATTTAGAAGAATGTACCGTTTGTCTAATAGTTTAGCTAGGGAATATCGTTCAGGAGATCTATACCGTTTGTAATGATGGGGAATTTGATAAAAATCGTTTCAAAAGAGATGAGACAGGTAACAAATTGTGTTCTTACTTTAGTCAAGCTTTTGTGATCGGAATAATCTTTCAAATCAAAGAGTTTGTTGATGTCACCCGCGAAAATGACAGCACCAAAACGGACATCGTTAGGTCCCAGGTCAAAGTTCTGTGTCAGGTTAGCGGCAAAGTCCAGTTGTTGGTCGTAGTTCCCGGGATCTGCGTAGTTGATACTTCCAGAGGAGTCCATGACCAGGATGATGTCGGCCAGAGGGGTACACTTGGGAGGGGGTAGGGAAGGACGGGCTAGCTCTGTTCAGAGAATATATGTGAGGAAGCGTGGTGAAATCAGGCGCTCGTCAAAATAATGAAAGTAAAGAAACTGACAGCTCTCTCTCTCTCTCTCTCTCTCTCTCTCTCTCTCTCTCTCTCTCTCTCTCTCTCTCTCTCTCTCTCTCTCTCTCTCTCTCTCTCTCATTTAAAACATAATTTTCAGCCCCTTACAAATCTCATGACGTGAAAGGTGAAAGCGATGTTAACTAATTGTGTTGTTTGCTCCTCCCTCCCCCCTCCCCCCTCCCCCTTCCCTTTACCTAATCTCTGGCTTTGCAAATCATTCATACAGTTGACGCACATGTCTTGCTTACGTTACTGCTTACTACTTTTGCCAAGTACATGATGTAGTTGTTTTTTCTCCTCAAATTTTTTCGGCACACGCCCGGTTCTATGCTTGTCGCTTTCCAGTTACCACTTACTGCCACAAGTTCTCAATTAATACTCACCCTCACACGTTCTGTTTGCCACCACCTGTTCTATTTTGTCAAGAGCGTGGAAATCAGAAACTTGGATCACGTTTTCAGACCCTGAGGCGATGTTCTCAAGTTCTTGAGCGTTGGCCCCGGCAATTCCAATAGCAATGATGGTGACTCCGGCATCTTTAAGCTTCTGAGCAGCATCTTTTGCTGGAAGAATCGGAGAAGTGGCTAGATAATAAATAATGAACCAATTTAACTGTAATGCGTGTTCTCATCAAACTTTGCCACTGAGATGTGTATTGTTAAAATTGTCACTAAATGCACGTTATATTGTCTGTCTGTCTGTCTCTCTGTCTGCCTGCCTGCCTGCCTGCCTGCCTGCCTGCCTGCCTGCCTGTCTGTCTGCCTGCCTGTCTGTCTGTCTGTCTGTCTGTCTGTCTGTCTGTCTGTCTGTCTGTCTGTCTGTCTGTCTGTCTGTCTGTCTGTCTGTCTGTCTGTCTGTCATAAAGAAGTAAAATAGGGTGAAGCAATTTGTCTCTGTCGAAAGTCATACTGTCATTTCATAATTTGACTTATTATGATATTCATTAATGGCTAAGAATGCTCAGTACAATTTCAATATGGACCGACATTGAGGAATATCCCCCATTAAAATAGTTTAGACCAGACTGATAATGTTTTAGAAGTTAATGTGAAGTGAGTAACGGCCCAAAGAAAAAAACAACCTAATATGCAATGTTCTTTGAAAAATGTGAGCTGGCACTTTGTATTCCACACTACTTGGGTGGCACAGTCCTCCACCTAAATTATCTTATTTGCATCGATGGTGGAGTGCAATGTTTACAAGTATAACCGAGAACGGATGGTTGTTAGAGATAAAACCTCACTACGAACGTCTTTCTGAGCTTTTGGTCACCTGAACCCTGAGAAAAGCCCAAATCAAATCGTAATTCTCACTACACATCACGTCACTAGGTACGCCGACAGTTGAGCTGGGGATTCTTTGTTTGCTGGTTTGAGTAAACAGCAGTACATTGACACAAACTAAGTCGTTTAATGCTGTGAAAAGAAAGACAGACAGATAAAAACAACAGAAGGAAAGCAAAGAAGTAGGACCTACCAGTGGTGCCCTCCAACCATCCGCCTCAGTTGGTAAGGCAGTGGACAAAGGAGGAAGCGACCCAGCTAAAACGATGCCATCTTGTCTTGTTGAAGACAGGTTCTGCGTCTTCAGCGACCCTAATTACCTGGTATTTAAAGCATTGTAAAACTAAAAAAAGCAATACACATACACAAAAAAACAACAACAACCACACCCCTCCCCCCAAAAAAAAACCAGAACGAAGATGGCTAGGTGACATCAGAGACGGACGGGTACAACCTGGATAGGGAAGCAACCGGTAGAAGAGTGGAGGTCATTGCTAGCGGGATAGATGCTCCTGTAGACTGACGCCTAGACATAAAGAAAATCCGAAACATAAACTACGTCATTATGAAGAGACAAAACCTACTGCTCTGCATATTATCCGACTGTCCGTCTGTCATGACGATAACAATCTTCTGAGCATTGTCTCGCCCACCGTGAGCAGTGTCAAACATTCCGTTGTTCACCAAGTTCAGAGCCAGGTCCGTTCTTGTTGTTCTCTTGATGTACCTGGCAGCTTTGATGGCCTGAAACAGTTGGGGGGTGGGGGGGTGTGGCAAAAATATGGGTATACCAACTTAGAATTGCCACTAATAAAAACAACTGGGACGAGACAAACGCAGTTCCAGAGACACTTGAATCGACATAAAGGGTTTGAACATTTTGCTCTTATAATAGAAGGCAAAAGAAGGCAGAGGCGCACCAAAAATATATTTCTCAGAGAACTGATGATAGGCAAACAACAGGGTAGTTTTATTGATTGCTTTTTTAAAAGCATCAGATCAAAGAAATAAATGGGTGCCAAATCATAATCGCTAATGTCTGTTTCAGATCTGACATTTCAAGAAGAAGATGAATCGTTTGGCAATGGTTTGTCGTGGTTTGAATACAAAACTGACATTCTGTAATGTTTATGATGTTTGAGCAATTCTATAAGTAAGTGCGAGCTTGTCTAGGATCATACTTATGATGTGCTATTGTGGTGAACTGAATTGGACTGAAAATTAGGCACATTTTCGCTTCAAAAATGCTCCTCTAATTATCCCTTCCTGTGAAAGTTCTGATATCATGTACATCGATACTTTAAGGCTCAATTCGAGTTGATCAATCTATTTCTCTCTACAGGTTCCCAACGAAAAGGTTAACAAAAATATTTCCTGATTTCTATTAAAGCCCTCCCTCCCCCCCCCCCCCCCCCCAATTCCTTCTTTGCCCACCAAATTCCGATCCGAAACGCTGCAAAAAAACAAAAAACAATCACTATGCTGAAGTATTCTTTTTTTGCAGTATCAAAACAATTAAGTAAAAATAAATGTCGTACTGACAATTAAAGAACAAAACAAGCAAGAATTGAATTGAGCTCCAACCTTTGACAAACTGTTATGATCAGAGTAATCCTTTAGATCAAAGAGTTTCTCAGTTGTGTCCGAGAAAATGACACCTCCAAAACGGACATCATCAGGTCCCAGGTCAAAGTTCTTTGTCAGGTTAGCGGCAAAGTCCAGTTGTCGGTCGTAGTTCCCGGAATCATCGTTGTTGATACTTCCAGAGGAGTCCATGACCAGGATGATATCAGCCAGAGGAGTACACGCTCGAGGCGGTGGCGTCGGTGCTGCAAGGAGAATGAAACGATGAGGAAAGTGTCTTTAGAACAAGAAAGAAACCAAGCGAAAGCTGCGAAACGAAACAACAAAGCAATTCATTACATTCTTCCTCTTGAGTATCTTGGTTTGCGTTTACCCTCAAAATTACGTTCTTGGGCTATTTGTGTTTCAGAATCATCGAGGGACGGTCACTTTGATCATTTCATAACGCTTGAAGTCACGCTGTTTTGGAGCACTTTCAAAAAGAAGGGTAATAACTTCGTTATTCACATACATTTATTAATTCTATATTAAAATGGTAAGTAGTAACATGCACACAATGAAATTTGCAAATTGTTGCTTGTTTCATATTTATTTGTGTACGCTGGTTTGAAATGTCCTACTACATTACCTCTCTCTCAAGCACACACACACACACACACACACACACACACACACACACACACACACACACACACACATACACACACTAACACACACACACATACACACACACACACACACACACACACACACACACACACACACAAGAAAACACATAAACAAACGCAAGCACCCTTTCACATTCGCACATACTGGAGTTTGAAGAATCCCGAACAACGTATCAGCAATTAAGTTTCGATGGTAACTTGCCACATAATTTGTCTACATTTTCACACTCCGGTAAACAACAAGAGTATTCAAATGTATTTAACCCTATCCGTACGTCGTGTTTTACTATCGTATCCATACGGCGTCGGGAACTATGTGCCAATACTTTCCAAAGAGGAAATTCACTCATTAATCCGATCCGTATGCTTTGCATTGCAGTCTGTCAAGATGATTTTTTGAGAAATACTGAGTTTCAAAGAGATCTCCGTACTAGAAGTATTCTAACATGTGAAGAATACAACCCCGGGGTAAAAAATGACCCCAGGGTGTATGGGTAGGGTTAAAAAATCCTCAACTCTGCCATATCCTACTCACCCTCACACGTTCTGTTGGCCACCACATGCTCTATTCTGTCAAGAGCGTGGAAATCAGAAACTTGGATCACGTTTTCAGACCCTGAAGCGATGTTCTCAAGATCTAGTGCGTTTGCGTGAGCAATTCCAATAGCAATGATGGTCACTCCAGCATCTTTAAGCTTCTGCGCAGCCTCTTTTGCTGGAAGTATCAGAAAAATGGTTAGGTAATAGATAATGAACCAATTAAACTGTAGTGCGAGTTATCTCTATCTCTATATTATATTAAATTTGTGAAATTTCCTAAAACTTCCGAACCACTTAAATTTGGACTTTGACAAAATTAACGGTGGTTCATAGCCATTTAAAGGGCGCACAGTTTCATTGAGGAGCCTGAAGTCACTGTAGTTTCATTTTCAGTTTTTCATTAGTTTCGTTTAGATCTTATCTTGGGAAAGCACGTCTTCTAAGACGCCATTGTAAACAAGAGAGGTTTTCGTTTACTAGCCGTGCGAACTATTTCCACACTTTTGAAATTATGGAGTGTACAACCACGAAAGCGGAATAGAGAATCAATCTATACATCTATTATATTATATTTGGCAACTTGGAAACACCAGTGTCACTTTTCTCTCAAGATTTATCGCTCCATTCCAGTAGAGTGTAAATATAGTAGGTCAATGACTTTTAGTTGATGTTAAAGCACCGATCATTCCTTTCATCGAAAGGTGGCCCAGCGAGTATATTCTGTTTGTGAAAGTTCGTCATTTGGCCGCCTAAAACTTTGGAACCACTTAACTTTCGAATTTGAAAAAAATATCGGTGGTCAGAATCATTTAAAGGGTGCACAGTTTTACTGAGGAGCTGAAGTCTCTGTTGATTAAATTTTAATTTTTCATTAGTTTCGTTTATATCTAATCTTAGGAAAGTCTGTCTACTAAGACGCCATTATAAACAAGTGAGGTTTCGGTTCACAAGGAGTGCGCACACTGAGCCCACGATGACTCGACGATCGATTCTTTTGAGTCCGTTCGTCGAACGGGATACCAAGCTATCTATATCTCTGTATCAATCTCAATTCCTATTTGTGAAAGTTCATCACTTTGGCCGCCGAAAACTTCCGAACCACATAACTTTCGAATTTGACAAAATTAATAATGGTTCAGGATCATTTAAAGGATGCACAGTTTCATTGAAGAGCCTGAATCTCTGCAGTTTAATTTTCAGTTTTTCATTAGTTTCGTTTAGATCTATTCTTGGGAAAGTCCGTCTTCTAAGACGTCATTGTAAACAAATGAGATTTTCGTTCACTAGCCGTGCGCACTGTTTCTACACCTTTGAAACTATGGAGTGCGCAACCACGAAAGCGGAATAGAGAATCTATCTATGCATCCATTATATTGTATTTGGCAACTTGGAAATACATGTGTAATTTTTCCCATAAAACTGCGACAGCTACGGAGTTGAACGTTGGCAAGTACCTGCAAAAAGTTAGATAGGTCCCCAAGACACGGTCCGATTTTTGATTTATTCATTTCCTGAATTTATAAAAATAGATTTGACAATGAGTTCCGGGGCTCCTGACTCTTTCTGCAGTCTTTCTACTGCTACTCCCTGGCTCCTTCTTACTACTGTCTTTCAGTCACACCCCTGATCTTCTGGTAGGAAAGATCTACACCTTGTCTTCTCGGACTAGGGCGAAAAGTCTTGGTGGGCCTGTGTGCAAGTTGCGCACGTTAAAGATTTCTTATCAATCGTGCAGTGAACTGTTGTGAATGCTACCAACTTGTGTTTCGCGCGCTCATATGACCTTATGCAGTTGCGAGCGCTGTAAAACCCTGTACTAAACAAACAAAAGATACGTTGGTGGTCTGAAATCGATAAGAGTAGGTTTCAGCCGCCACCCGGGCAAAATTAAAATTGTTCTACCAACTGAAAATGTTTAATGTGTCCCGCGCGCTCATATGACCTTATGCAGTTGTGAGCGCCGTAAAACACTTAC